TTGCAGATAAGATAACAAATATACTGCCTTGTCTGAAACTTCAGACATTTTCAAAACCCAAACAAGAAAATATGGCCAAATCGAATCACAATGGGAATATCGTACTAAAACCATTTGCTCTAATTCATTTGAGTTTCCCTTTTTCAGTAACACTAACCATCCTAATGCCCCTTTCTCGTTTGCACCCTATCCATTGTCAACAATCAATACATATCAACCAATCAATCAATAAAAAAGTCCAAACATCACAGAAATGTACAAAACCAATCAGCCTAATAAAGTCAATTTCTCACAACCGAAATAAAAAAACACAAAAATCAACTTTCCCATCCAATCCTCCATCATCCCAGAGCCAAACAAACATTTAAAGAAGACCCAATACCTTGATCGTTCCTGGCAGTGAAGAGAATGGTCCCGGTCTCGTCCCCAATCAAGCACTCGGAGATTCGGGTCTGGCGAAGGTGCTGCGACACCGATCGGCCCTTCTGCAGCACGGGGTTGGAGCTCAGAACCTTGGCGACGAGCGTGTGGCCACCGGTCTCCGGCTTGAGCAGCTCGACCTTGGTGAACACGGGCTTTCTGAGACCAGGCTTGGCATTGCTCTGCTGGGGTTTCTGAGACGGTGCCGTTTTGGTGGTCGTCGACATGGCTTTCAAGTCCCCAAACCCTAAACCTAACCCTAAAATCGAAATTGGAGGGCAAATGGATTTGTATCTGTTTTGTCTTCTCTCTCTCACTCTACTACTCTCGCTCCCTTCTCTGAGCGTGGCGTTTTGGTGTGCTTTTATTTAGTGCTATTAACTTTAATTGTGGCGCTTCGTTTTCTACCAGTAATTCGTGACTCCTAAAGTAAGGGTGGAAAAAAATATTGAAAATTCCAAACCGAACCGAAAAAATCATAAAATCGAGCCGAAAAAATCTCAAACTGAAAATCTCAAAAATTTTGGTACCTAATCCTGAATTGATTCAGAAATTTTGGTACGGGAATCGGTCTCACATTTTCATGCGTTCGGTAATCCTCAATCGAACAAAAAAATATATATATATATATATAATTTAATTTTAAATATATATTTGGAATTGTAAAAGCTATTTGATTTCAACCGTTGAATCCAAATAAAACCCTCATTCAATCACTCTCTCTCTCTCTTTACCTCACCTCTCACCTCACCCTCCTTGTCTATTTCTCTCGATCTCTCTCCTCCTCCTTATTTGCCGTCTTCGAATCCGACCACACCCATATCACACAAGTGACTCACCTCTCTCTCGACTGACATATCACCTCTCTAATCTCTCTCTCTCTCTCTCGACTTCTAATCCCTCACTGTGGAGCCTTCCTTCTCATCCCACACTATGCACCGATATTCCCCCAAATCAGGTAAAATTTGAAATTAATTGAGGGTTTGAAATTTAATTTAGGGTTCGAATTCTAGATTAGGGTTTGTGAAATTCGTTCATGTTTTGGATTGGGTGTTCATGATTCCAGCCCTAATTTTATTTCTATATTTATGTTTACCATTAGGTTAGGGTTTATGAATTTTTTTTTCGATTTAGGAATGAGGCTATTACTGGAATTTGCAAGGGAAAGTTTTATGGGTTTTTACTTTTTTGCTCCAAAGGGGTCTTAGAAAGTCTAAGAGCTCGTTTGGATGTGCTTTTACAATGATTGAAAGCCTTTTTTGTGAAAATATTTTTAAAATCAATCATTAATAAAAATGCAAATTGTTATAACATATATTAGGCCTAAGTATTTGGGCTTCATTACTTAGCACATGATTCATGTAAGAGTGGAGGAAACCCTTATTCTATAAAAGGGCTTCTTCACATTCACTTGAGGGGGGGGGGGGGAAGGAAAACAGATAGAGGGGAAACGGGAGAGCAAACAGAATAACAAAGAGAGCAAACACTGCCTCTATAGCCTCCATGTATATTCGACATTCATTTACATAGTGAAACAGAATCAACACCAATGTGGACGTAGCCTCAACTTGAGGTGAACCACGATATATCTTTGTGTTCTTGTGCGTTTGTGTGATTCACTGTCGGATTTACGTTGGTCCAAGATCGACTCGATTTTGTGCATCAACACAAGTAAATCCTAACACTTAAAGTGTTTCTTGGAAGAAGCACATAAGTGGTGTTTCTTGCAGAAAGCACTTTAAGTGTTTTTGGAACCCAAAAAGATTTTTTCTAAAAGCGCTTTCAGTCATTTTAAAAGCACATCCAAACAAGTCCTAATTCTTTGAAACATTTATGTGGGTTTTGTTTAGTTGGTGGGTTGTAAATCTCTTATGGATAACATCTAAATTTTCATTTTTTAATCCAAGAGTTTTGCAGCTCCACATTTTGATGTGCTTTCTGCTCTAGTTTGTTTATTTTTCACGAAATTTTGTATATTTTTCATAATAATTTTTGTTGCTTCTTCTGGCTTTGCATCAACTAATTAAAAAGAAAAAACATGTTTTGATGGTTTTTGCCTTCAATTTTTGGGGCTTTGTGAGCTAAATTTTTTATTTTTTTTCCTCGTTTCTAAGATTGTAGTATTTGTATTTGCAGGACCTCTCCTAGAAGGTTTCATGCAAGTTGTTCACTGATCTCCGAAAGCCTTAGCTGTGAAGCAATGTATCTTTGATCAGTGCCAAGCTATCTTACTCAAGTCTTTGGAATTTTACTTTGGTGATTTTAGGGTTTACTCTCTCTCTCTCTCTCTCTCTCTCTCTCTCTCTCTCTATATATATATATATGTTTAGATATATTATTGTAAAGGGTGTGTGTGTGACTTATAAAGCTAACTCTTAGTTAAAGGATTTGAGTTTAACTTCTAGGTGAACATAAATTTAGAACTCTTTTTCTTTTTATTCAGATTACATCTATCATTTGGGTTCATATTTGGTAATTTGGGTTTTGTTTTCTGAGGTTTTTTTCATTTGGTTAACACATGATTTGAAACTGGTTTGAGTTAGTTGTAGTTTGGTTTGTGGAAGATTAGCTTTAAAACCCGCCAAAAGATGTAACTGATTAAAGTCTGATACTTTATGCTGCTTTAAGTCCATGTGTGAGAATCTCCTTTTCTTCCTTTGTGCTTGTCTCAGTCAGTCTTCTTCCTTTTATTGCTTTCTTTGTTATTAAGCATTCCAGCAGGAATTTAAATCAAGTTTAATTAATATGCGGTTGAACCCGCACTTATAATTTTATTGCTTTCTTTGTTATTGTCGTTTAAGTGCCTTCCTGTTCACTTTTTAACAAGATTCATAGGGTTAACTTTAGTGTTTATCTTCACTGTTTAACCTCATGTTGGTGGGATGATTAATAAAATAAAAGACCTTAATTGCTAACTTTAGCATTTGGAAGATGTCGACTATTGGTTTTTTTTCCCAATTTTTTATAGGACCTAGAATCTGTTTGTATTTTTAATAGGGCCAAGGCACTGTTAACTTTAGCACGTGGAAGATACTGTTAACTCCTCAACTATTTGAATGCAATAAGCCCAGATTATGCACTGCAGATAGAGTCCGCAGGCTCATATTTCAATTGTTTTTTAAATGTGTCCCGGCTATAAACAAAAGTAAAATTATGTTAGTTAAGAGACTATGAAGTATGAACCATTGAAAACTCAACATTAATATAACAAGAGAATGCTAGCCATTGAAAATTATGTTCGTTAAGAAATTGTGTCTTCAAGGATCATTAGTTGATTGAATCTTATATGGAGCACAGCATTGGAAAGAAAAGATCATTGTTTAACAACATATACATACACATACACATATACATGTGTTCAATCCTTTTCTCTGCTAATTTATCTTGAATGCTTTAATAGGTTTTCTTCAATCCCTAGATTTATAGCACCGATTGCACCACTCCATTACCCGTTGTAATTGACAAGTGTATTCATTCTGCTTCAATTAACACTAGGAGGTCTTTGTATAAGGTGAAGTTGGCCTTGAATTGAGCTTAAGGAGATCGGTCCTTGGTTTGAATTGAGGCTTTTTAAGGTTAGTACTCTATCTTCATTGTTGAGAAATTTGTGCTTCTTGCAAGGATATAGTTAGATATGGATAAATATGAATTCTCTTTATGACTAGATATGAATTCTCTTTAATTGTTTCCTCTTAAGAAATGCCATTTAGCATGAATAGATTTAAAATTTAATGTTGTGCTTACTTTGCACATATTGAATATGTTATTGCATTTGAATGGGATATGTGATTTATTGAATTGGAATTTGGATATATGTTGAACTGTGGTTGTGATATATTAATGTGCATTGTTATTATATTTGTTAGGATGGATGGGTCTAGTAGCCAATCTAGTACACATATGGTCTCGGTATTAGGAAAATAAAAACAAATCCAACCTAGTGGTACCCTTCGACTAGGCACTCCCTCACCTCAAGATTAATTGCATGATGATTATTATGAAGATTTTTGGGATCATGATCCGGATGTGGATGAGGATATTGCATTAAAACAAGTAGAAGAACAAGGAGAAGAGGGGGGAGAGGGGGAAGAGGAAGTAGAAGAAGTAGTGAGAGAATGGGAGGGTCCTCCTCGAAAAAAGAGCAATAGGAGAAATGGCCCAAGTCCGGCGTGGAACGATGCTAAGAGAGTAACTATCACCGATAATTATGGGGTGGAATCGTACATGGCCGAATGCATGCATTGAAAACTCTTAGTACCAACACACCCTATAATTCATGGGACCATTGGAATTCTTAAGCAATTGAAGAAATGCCTTGGTTTTAGTCTCTTTGAGAGTGTGGATCCGAACCAACCAACATTGACACAAGCGAGAATGGGAGATCCAGTTGTCACTCACACTTTCAACATAAAAAAAAGACATTGATATGAGATGTGTGAGGTGGATTATAATAGCGGAGATGCCTTTTAAGGTGGTCGAGGGTTTGAGAGTGAGTATCACAACCGATACTTGGACCTCAATCCAAAAGAACTACATGGTCATCGTGGCCCATTTTTTGGACACTAATTGGGCTTTACATAAGAGGATCCTAAACTTTGTCCAAGTTACTTCTCACAAGGGTGATGACATTGGAAGATGTCTAGAGGTTTGCTTGAATGATTGGGGCATAGACAAGGTGTTTAGCATTACCGTTGACAATGGTAGTGCAAATGACACCACTATTGCATACATGAAAAGAAGACTCAAGTCAAATGGTACTCTTTTACTCGACATGGCTCACTTGCACATGAGGTGCACTTGTCACATCCTCAATTTAATAGTTAAGGATGGAATGGCAGATCTTATTTGTGAGAGATTGATGCCATAAGAAATTGTGTGAAGTTTATACACTCATCCCCGACAAGGTTGAAGTCTTTTAGGGAATACTGTGTCTTGTTGAGACTTGATAGGATGTCAAGTATCCCTTTTGATGTCGTCACAAGGTGGAATGCCACCTATGAAATGCTTAATAATGCTTTCAAGTTTAAAGAAGTGTTCTCTAAGATGGCCTTTGAGTGTGACTCTTTTATTACTTACCTTAAAGATGAGGTCTCGAAAGAGGTTGATGGGGTGACAATAAAGGCCAAGCGGGTGGGTCATCCAGAGGTGAATGTGTCACGCCCCGAACCCGGTTCAGCAATGAAAACTCGAACCTGAATCCAAAACGTGAGTTAAAAGCTACATAATTAAAAGGAAATTGGAATGGGTTGGAAAATTAAACTTTTCATATTAAAATAACTCCAAAATCCTTACAAGGTGTACAAAAATAAGAAATTAACACTCTTAGATCCCTCGTCTAACACAACCTCAGTTCGTCTATCACCAGTGTTGCCAAAAAACTCATCTGTAAAATAATAGGTTAGGGGTGAGCAACAACCACCGTCGCTCAGTAGGGACATAACCTTATCACAGTAAATTGACAATATTAAATTATGTGTCATGAAATCATACAGAAAAATATCAAATTAGTATTGATAATAATGCATGAATGCAATGCAACCTCTTCAGTTACCCCTGTTAATTTATATAATAAAACACACGGACCTGCACGTCCCATACCATGCATTTTACCCCTGCAGAGGTGGTTCGAATGTTCTATTATAGAAACTAATATTATAGAAACTAACCCCTATATGATATCCCAAGTTCAAAAACCCCTTTTGCTAGTCATCTTATCTAATTCATTGATCTTCAGCCCAAATCACCCACATCGACAATTCCCGTCGATATCCTATTCTACTGTGCACATCGGGCTCGCCTGGAACTGGTTTCACAATAAATAGATTCAACTACACAAAAGATCCTTTCCAACTACCCTCATTTCCATACTTCCAATCTGAAAGACACTGAAATTCCAACCACATCAATATGAATGATGCACAAATGATGTCATTTTATCTTTCGCATGTATCACAGTATATTCTCGACGAATAGCATTCCAGCGAAAATTCCATAACTAATAACAAGTAAACACTTAGCTGAAGCAAGTAGCCAATTAAAATCCAACCATATAAATCAACAAAAAAATCAAGAATATTATAGCACTTCACGAAATTTAATAAAATCAATTTATGTAAAAGTCTGCCTGATTTCCCCTACCTGAATTCTGAGCTTAGCTTTTACTTTCTCACCATTGTCCAAACGTTGTTCACCAAACTCTTGAGCACCATTACCACCTCACATGATTCACTAGTTAATCCAAATCAATATATCCAAATGATCCTCAAATAAAATATCACATAAACCAAGTTACTAATCAATTAAACTTATCAAACCTAGTATGTAGTTTAAGACTTAAAATATTAATTCAAACCTCTGCAAGTCGTTAATAATCTTCACAAGTTGCAAACTAACCTTGAAATCCCATGTAATTGGCACGGTCTGATCTCAGTTATAAAGCCCTTGTCCAAATGAAAGACTTTCGGTCATTCCCACATGCCAATTAGCTAAATTCTCCAACTTTAACAACGTGAGAATATTATGCTCCAATCTTAGGGTTTTTGAAGAAAAAAGAAAGCATTTTCTGATATAGAACTTCGGATCTATGGAGAAGAGAAAACCAATTTATAGGTTAGCACCTTACGTGCTCTAATTCCCCACTTTGTTTCTTTCATTTGTGGAGAGTCCCGCACGTGGCAAGGCTAGTGCATCACGTGTGTTCTCAAGGTGGCTGTCAAATTGAGCTCCAAGTGCTAATTCCACAGCTGCCATGTGTCATCGACACATTGGTCCAACATGATATCATCTTAAAAATTCATTTAAGTTCCGAAAGTAATCCGAAAGATTTTACAAACTTGTAATGACATCCACAATTTTTTCATAAATACCCCCTCAATAAATAACCTAAACATATATATATATATATATATATATATTATATATTTTTTTTTTTTTTCTTTCAAATATTTCTCTTCTTAGATAATAAATTCTTGAGATCTCACAGAATGATTGGGAGAGGTCGGTGAGTTTTGCTTAGTTTCTCAAAAAGTTTTATGATGCTACCTTGACATTGAGTATAACCCTTACTCCAACGTCACACTCAATACTTAGCATGGTGATTGTTTTGCAAGTGGAGATAGAAGAACAAATTTTAAACACCTCTAATGCCACTTTGCAAAGTGTGGCTACAAGATCAAGTTTGACAAATATTGGGGTGACATTGAAAAGGTGAACCCTATTCTCTTTGTAGCCCAAGCACTCTACCCGAGGTACAAATTTGAAATGTTGAAGACAAATCTAGAAAAACTCGGCTATGGATGGGACAAAATAAGGGAGGAGAAAGCAAGGGTTAAAAGCCATGTAACCAAGTTGTATAATGCATATAAGGAGGGAGTCTTTAGTAGTACTAGTAGTGCTACTTCAAATGTGTAGCAAAGATCAAGTGTTGTACTAGATGATTGGGGGGGGGGGAGGGTGTGGTAGATATTGATGTTGCTAAAAGGATGACAAGGTAGATCCAACAGAAGAGGGCTGCGACACAACAAAATAAGATAACCAATGAAGTGGATATGTATTTCAATGATCTACATCAAAGCCTAACATATGAGGGTTTCAATCTTTTGGATTGGTGAAAAGGAAATAATGGTACATATCCAACTCTTAGTAAAGTTGCTAAGGATGTATTTTCTCTTCCTAGTAGCACCGTTTCTAGTGAGAATGCCTTTAGTCTTGATGGGAGAGTTGTTGATCCATTTAGAGCTTCCTTAACACCTAAAATGGTTGAGGCTTTAATGTGTACTAGTGATTGACTTAAAGGAAATGAATTTTGTTTCTATAAGGAGCCTACACTCGACGAATTCAAATTCTACAAGGAACTTGAACGCTTAGAAAAAAGTAAGTAAATAATTTAATTTCCTCTTTTATTTTCTTAGTATTTATTATCTATTTCACTAATTCAATCTAAACGATATGTGGTTTATTGTTTTAGGCACGGCTAATTTAGGAGGTGAGGAGAATACAACACAAGGAAATGAAATGCCACCTCTACCTCCTCGACCACTTCAAGTTGAAGTTCAACAACGTCAAAATCAATCACTACCTCCACGAGCACCCATTTTAAGGAGAAGGGCTCAACCATCAACATCAAGGGGAAGAGTACCAACAAGAAGGGGAAATGGTCAACACTCAACAACAATAAGCATGGTAAGGGAGCAACCACAACCATCAACAAGATCAAGGGGCTGAAGAGGCCAACAATCTTCATAAACTTTAAGCTTTTCTTTTTGCTTTTGGTTTGTAACTTAATTTATTTTGAAACTTTGGCTTGTAACTAATTTTTTTTGCTTTTGGGTTTGTTACTTGATTTATTTTTGTTGCATGCATGTGTGGTAGAATATATTTGAAGAACAATTCATAATTTCATATTTCAATTAGGGCTATAAATATATGATTGCACATATTGGTATGTATGAAGTAAAAGGCTCAAAATAGATTGCATTGGTGGCTCAAAATAGATTGCACAAACTCACATATGACATATTGAAATTGGGCTGACAATTTCAATCTAAAAGACTAAATTTTAGCCCAAAAGCCCAATATGTCAAGTTTCAGCCCAATAGCCCAAAATCAAAATTTAATCCTGATTTGTCCTGAAATCCCAAAAATATTTCGGGATTCCCGAAAATTTGGTTTGGGATTGGTTTTGAAATTCCAATCCTGAAAAATTTTGGTTTGAGATACGGGATAGTATTTTATGTTCGGTATCTCATATCGAACTAGCCCTACTCCTAAGTAGTTATGACTCGTGAGTTGGTGGGTTGTTGCTCTGACGCTGCCGCTTCCCTTTAGGCCTCTTTAGTATTTGGGCCTAATTTTTGAGCCCAATATCAAGTATTTCTCATGCCCATGTTGCTAATGTAGAGCGGTTCTGTATACATCCAAGTTTCGTCTTTGGACACTCTTGTTTTTCTAGAGTTTCTAGACATCTAATTTACTCTCACACATTTCTTTGAACATCCAAAATAATTTACTAAACTTCCAAGAATGCCCTCCTTTTACTTTTTATTAATTTTTCTGGACGCCTATTTTTCATTTTCTGTGGACACCCATTCTCCTTTCCTCATCAGATCGCGGATATCTCGACTCAACACTAGAATTAGATCGCGATTACCACGTTGTTTGTTTCAAAACCTATGGGTGTCAAAAAAAAAATTGTTTCCTTAAATCACTAAGCCCTTTGTGGTAATTTTATATACGTGGTATAAGAGTCATTTTCTTTTAAACAAAAGTGATGGCGTCCAGAGACAAAACTTGGGTTTTCAAAGAACCACTCTTTACTTTTTATTATCATCAAGAAAATTGACCTACTCCCCCAACTCCAAGTCTACATTTAAATTATGTGTTTACAAAAAGATGACTGGGTTTGTATGATAAGGGTAAAATCTCTTCAACTCTGTATTTTTGGTTTGAATTATTCTTCATCATCTTAGTGTAAAGTGTAATATCGCTTATGATGAAAATAAAATTAGAAAGATGATTTGGTTTTTCTATCAACAAGGAGAGGTATTCGAACATAAAACTTCTTTTAACACTATATTGAGAAGTGAAGAGAATGTGCAATTGGGCAATAAAGAGAATAACTAACATTTTATAAGTTCATATAAAATCTCTTAATTATTCGATATGAGATTCACATTATCAACACTATCAAGTCCAAATTTACAAGGTGTCTCACTAATGAACCAACTGCAAGGCACTGAAGCCGTAGGCAAACTTGCATCTCGTTTGGATATAGGGAAAGGTGAGGATGAATGTATGCGTTTCGCACCAATTGTAGTTACTGCTTGTGGTTACAGCTACGACAAATACACAACTACCAGTTGAACATTTTGAAATTAGAAGTAATACATCCTGACATGTGAACATAATAATTAACAAAAGTCACGTGTATGTATATCGGGAGAAAAATTAATATACTACGAGTTCACGGTTACTATAACGTCTTAATTTAATATTACTGAAATGATAATTACGTAATCAAAATGAGACCTTACATAGCGGTGAACCCTAACAAGGTTCGCTGTCCTGTACGTGGGGTAAAAAGTTAGAAAAAGACGGGCAGCAAAGGTATCACTGTCATGTGTTGATTGCACATCCCCACTTAAAGAAAAGCATCCCTAGATGCCGACTAAACACCAAAGTGGGCACACTGTAAAATAAATGCGAAAGATGCCCTTTCGATGCCCAGAAACCTTCTCTCTTGCATCCAAGATCTGAAGATCTGACTCTGCAAACTTGAAGAAACTCCTTTCTCTTTCTTTCAGATTATGCAGGTGTTCATGCCTGTTTGAAGGCATCTGCGGGGAACGAGATGGTAGATCTTTGGCCAGAATCTCTCTCTAGGTGATCAATCGTTGCAAGTCACTAGTTTGGAGGACGACGCCGAAGTTACAGATTCATGGAAGATCTCCGAGGACAAAGCGGTATGAGTTTGGAATACCAATCGTGGGAGTTGGTGGCATCGGTAAAGTTCTTTTTCCTTGTTAAGGATGTAGAGAAAAGCTGGGAGTTGTTCTGCAACGAGAAACTCTAGTTTTTTTCTACCTGTTCTTCAACCAATCAACTTTTTATTGAGTAGATTTTAGAGTATAATAGTAATAGAAAGATGAGTTCGTATGATAAAGATTAACAGATTACACTCGCAATTAAAGAAGTTAGAGATTAATGTTTACATGTTTTGTTGTTATATGTATCGTCACATATCTTTTGATTTATGCTTTGTTTTTTCACTTTCATTATTAAGCGATTCAACCGATGTTAAGTATGATTAGTTTATCTTAATTTTCTTACACATTTTGGCTCATGGCAGTTGTACCTAAATTGTGAATTGTAATGAACAGGGTGATTTAGCCCAAGAGAGAGCAGGAAGCACTTTATATATGTTTGGCATATCGACATTCCGCCATCAAAGCAAAGAACATGAGCTATTTGCACACTTATAACATGTTAATTTGCAGATAAAATGCCTGCAAAATTGTGAGATGGTTAAAATTCGTTTATACAGTCTAACTCAAACGAAGAAAGAAAGATGTGTAAACGAAGAGGTTGCATCAAAGGGGAAAAATTATGCTCGATTAGATCGATGTTATCTATATGTTGGAGTTAAAACTTCTAATCCTTGAAGGAAATGTTTTTGCAATGTCAGAGACTCAGAATATTGAAACATCAGAATGCATGCCTTTACATGTTAAAGATACTTTAAACCAATTTGGGCACTAGGTTTTCACTCCGTTCTTCAATTACAAGGGAAAAAGAATATGTTTTTCGATAAAGGCTTTTCACTTTTAGAATGTTCATACATTTTCCAATGGTGTTCAATCCATTCTAACATGATTTACAGCGAAATTCGATAGTCATGCGATCTGCAAGCAAAAATATGCCTTAACAATCTTCGGGAAGAGCTCATGTCAATCGAGTAGTTAGCTAAGACTCGTTTATCCGAGTGTTCAAGTGGATCTTCCTTTTGTCAATCAGAGTGAAGTAAAGAAACCAAAGACGAAGCATGGACAAAGCATTTGTAACATGAGGGGCAAT